CCCCCAAACATTTATGTATTTTTTAGGGCTCATTTACACTTGCTTCGACTTCAACACACATTGAAGCGCCTACCGCTTCAACATGCGTATTCGATATATTTTTGGTGCTGTTTTGTTTTTTTTTTTAAGCTTGTCAGATACCCTGTGTTTGATTTTGTGTTTGTTTTAAAGGGGCTCAGTAGAACCCTGGCTCAGATCCACTCCGCAGATCCTCAGCTCATTAGTACCCCTGTTTAGCATGTGTACCTTTCTTCAGCAGATCCCTAGCGCATAAGTACTCTCGTTCATTAGATCTCCTGCTCAGTAGTACCCCCAGCTCTGTTGATGCCCCACTCAGAAGTACACCCAGCTTTGCTTATTTCCCACTCAGTAGTAACTCCCAGCTCTACTGATCCCCTACTCTGTGGTAACCCCCAGCTCTGCCGATACTCTCCCCACTCTCTGGTCCCTACTCACCTCCCACTATATAGCTCTCATGCTGCGCACCACATACGGCATTGCTAGTTTCACCTGCTCTGGTCTGGCAGCTCTGCTGATCCTTTAACACTCAGTTCTCTCTCTGGTCCCTGCTCACATTCTATATTGTTATAGAATTGTTTACATTTTATAGCATTCCCATGTTGCACACTGTGTGCTGTCTTCTAGTTACTCCCTCCTGTCCGGACCCTGCTCACTTTCCTACTGTTTCATGCTACACACCAGATGTGACGTCTACACCAGACACTTCCAGAATATATATACATGAATCGGAAGTGACAACTGATGACATCTTTCTGGCTCAGTGTTGGTCTCCCAGTGCATCTTGGGATATCTCCTACCTTCATTAACTCCAAAATAAAGCAAACCCAAAGCTGAATAAAAGCCCCTCAAAAGCTACAGGTGCTGTATGTGAGCTTTGTCAAACACTTAAATGGAGGCTTTGAAGCACTATGAAAGCGACATGGGGTATACTTTTTAAAGCAAAGCAAGCACAATGTGTGAACATGACTGTAATCTAATCATTTTATTTAGTTACAGGGACTTTGGTTGGCATTCAGAGTGCTTTAAAACAAGCTTGTCCAATGCCACAATTTGAAGCAAGTGTAAACGAGCCCTTAAAGCAGAGGCAATAGAGAATAAAATGGGTGTTGCACTTTTTTGTCACACGGTATTTGAGCAGCAGTTTTTAAAACGCATTTTTAGAAATTGTAATGTGCAAAAACACCATATATTACCCAATTGTTTGGTAAAATATGAATTTATACTGAGTATATAGATACCAAGCATGTCACTTTAAAATTTTCCACGCCTGTAGAATGGCGACCAACCACGTAAACAATATTATCTTGAGAAAGGTGGACTGAGCTTCATCGAAACATTTGACAGAAACGCTGCTGTTTTTGATCTACCTCCTTTGGAAGACCGGTAAGTGCCTCTACACCAGTTCTGGATTTAAACTATATTATCCATAGGCGACGCTTTAAAAGCCTTTACAGGTTACCACTTTAGATTTACACAGAAGATCTGGTGCTAGAATTCTCGTCCTCTATCTGATGTTCAGTGATAACCTCAAATGTGGGGAACGCATACCAATGGTGAGTTTATCAGTTCACCAAAATAAATTCCCGCTGTGAGACTCCACTTCACTCAATTTGTGCCATCTTTGTGCTCACAGAACTCTCACCTTAAAGATGATGTGGTATAGCATGCATATCATAATCCATCTGGCTTTCAGCAATATCCCAATCCTCCTACGTCTCCATGCCACTAGGGACTCTCCACTTGGATTTCCTATTGACTCCAATCATATGTGGGGTGAGGTGCCTTTAAGGTTTTTGCTCATTCATGCAGCTATGTTTGCCTTGCCCATGTGTGGGAAAGATACTAGAAAGCCTCATATGGTGTAGTATGTTGATAAAAGTGATCTTCTTTATAAAACAAATTACATTTACACATTTAAAACATTCAAATCACAACAAATAGATACCGGTGTGTCCCTTCCGGTCTACGTCTGCCTCCGCTCGCTCCCTACGCATTACGTCACGGTCATGTGACTTCAGCAGAGGATAGCAGCGGGTAATTTGAGCACAGAGGTGGCACAAATTGTGTGATGTGAAGTCTCACAGTGGGAATTTATTTGGGGGAACTGATCACATCACAGGACTGCCATTTATTAAGTCTGACACTTTGAAGCATATGGACTAAGCACTTTTCTTTGGATAATATAGCTAAATATTGGATTGTTTCATTGGGTATTTTATGCTATATACATGTGTGTTTATATTTCATGCATTGTAACGCATGTGTTTTTACACGGGCTGATGTTTAGAGTTATATTTATTCCTAGCACTGTATTTATCATTTTAGCAGAGCAGCATCATATAAAAAAAAAAAAAAAAAAATTATAATACATCCATGCAAAAGGATTGTGTGTAAAAATAATCTCCTGAAAAAAGGCCTTCAAGTCAATGCAAACATATCTTATGCAAAACAAACCAATAAAACACCACCTTCCCAGTTCATTATGTTTACTTGTGCTGTAAACAATAAATTAATCTAGTCCTCAGTGTGAACAATACATAAAGTGCTTTTCCAATAACCGCTCCTTTTTATGCCTTCACATCTCTGCTCCGCATCCACGCAACACCACTTCCCCCTTATTGAGTGTTGCTCACCAGATTTCACTGAACCCTTATGGTACAAAAGCAGGTCAGCAACATTCAGAATTCTTCCTTCTTCTGGTAGTGTCTCCTATGCCCTTACTCCACCTCCAGGCACACTCTGATAATGCACTGAGAGGAACCGTAGTAGTGTAATTCTGTTTATTAAAATTCCCACACATCAGATCTGCACTTACAGGGTCCAATCCTATAGTGCCAAGGTAATAGTTGACAGGTTGGTCCATTGTAGTGAGTGCACATAGAAGTTTTTAAAATTTAAACAAAACCCGTATGAGGAATAGGTTAAAAAAAATTAGTTTTCTGTGGGCTTTGGCTTGACACAGATATCTTTATAGATATCATTTATCAGGTGTAGCAGTTGGTGAGACCACTGAATGTAGTTTTTTTTTTTTTTTTCTGTTTGTTTTTTTAACATATATAGTGGGAAGAGTGCTGAGCTCAGTTGCACTTGGATTTCCAATATTTTAGAAATTCTGTGGGTTTATGGGCTTTCAACACAAGTTTAATCAGCCCCGACATTTCTCTTATTGTAAACACTGCTAGAGTTTCACTTGTATGTTTGTGGCTCTACATAGCTATCTTAGCCTTTGATGGGCCTTACCTTCGTACTTTTAGGGATTATTTAACAGGTATTTGTTTTAGTATAAAGCTGGTTGTGTTATTACCATAGATGGAAAGATCCAATATAGGCATGGGTTGCCCTCCTCACTATCACTGATCATAATTTTGGTGAATGTTATTAACTCCCTTTATCTATGGAAATTTCTGTAGCCGGTGAAGGATTTTTTTTTTTTTTTTTTTTTTTTTTCTTTTTTAACCAAAAATTTTATGGCAAGTACAGTTTCCTCTCTAACAAATACTTATTTTGCCAACTGTTTTGTATGCATGTCATGCACGGTTCTGTTCATAAGTCGCCCATATACCGGGAGGTCCAGTTTTTAGAGGTCTGCTAGCTAATCACTAAATCCGTTATGTCCAGGTTGCTGCCTTACCTGCCATTTACTCAGGTACACCGACAGGGAATGGATTTTGCAGCACTTAATCCAGTTAGAAAATATAGATTTAGTGTGCTTATGCACTGACACAGCTAAACTTGTGTTAACTACCCCAGCCAATCCTGAATTATGCAAGATTTTTCAACATGTGAGAATTACTACAAATGATAAGGTGCTTTCTTTGTAAGATGTTCTTATGTTGCTCAGTTATCACAGTAGATGGCGTAGTCTGGCATAGCACTTCTGAAAATCAGTGTATATATGGTCCACGTTTTGCATCAAAAGTGTGGTCATTTTGGCTAATAGAATACAAAAAGATATTCATTTGAACATAATTTGCTCCAATGTTAACAATTGTAATTTAATTTGAAAGCAATTCAGAAGGCTGTTGTCACTGTACAGTTTTTTTCCATTCTGTTGCAGGTATGAAGTATTGCAGTTTTGTTGGTTGCCTCCAGACCAGCGCCTCACTACAGAAGAAGTCCACAGATTGCTGACATACCTCCGCATGCAAAGTCAAAGAGAGACAGAAGCAGATTTTGAACAGCGTTGGAATTCCCTTAAGCCAAATACTAACAATCGTCAAGCCGCCTCAAATAATCTGGCATTTCCAATCTTGGATCACTTCACTGGTGATGAATTAGGGCGTGAATTAGATGAAGTTCTTACTGTAACAGAGACTAGTCAGGGGCTCAGTTTTGAATATATATGGGAGGCAGCCAAAGAAGATCATTTTGAAGAACATAGTCACACTGACTCTGACACCACAGTGAAATATAATAGCATATTTTTTCCTGTACCTGTAGATGTTTTTCAGAAATCAATCTCTGACCTTGGACAAGATAAACAAGAACAACCTAGCCGAGAAGAGACAATTGCAGTCCCGGAAGTTGTGCCAGTGTTTGATGCCCATAATGTTTCTGTATCCAACGAATATTACATTCAGTTGGAGGAACAAGGTGAAAGCCGGTTGGACTTTGAGCACCATGGCGATCACAGAGAAAGAAAAGGTGAAGATGTACAGTTTATTGCCCTGAGTGAACTTAATTCATCAGGTTTAAGTAAAAATGGAAGTAACTCTAGGTCCGAGCAAACGGGCATTTCAGATTACCTGGATATATCCGCTCGTGCTGCTTTGCCATTCATTGAACCAATTAGCAGTGTTGACCTCCTGGAAAAGATCCATAATGAAGTGTCCCTGTGTGACTTAACCAATCAAAACCGAGGCAAAGCTAATCACAGTTCTCCTACAGTTTGTTCAAAGATTGATTTCTCTGATGATGATAAAAATATTTTTGACATTGATGCTGTCATATTACAAAGTATGCCAGAATCAAATCTGGGATTTGAAGATTTCAAGGAACTTTCTGACAATTTTTTATTCTTAAAAGAGAAGAACATGTTGTCAGATAGTGTGTTTGCAAAAGATCCTGTATTGGATCATACAAAACCTTTGCAGAGTGACCTGGATCCAAAAAACATTTTTGAACACACTAGGAGTTTGGACATTGAGCTCATGTTGGCAGACCTTGATGCTTCCTTTCTTAATATCTCAGGGGAACAGGCAAGATTGGCGCTTGAGGAAACCTCTAAACAAGAAGACTTGACACATTTACCACTGGTAGAACAATTGAAGCCTGCTGCCTTTGATTCGTTCACAGATTTTTCCATTGACACTGATCTGCATGAAAAAAATATTGGAAGCATGCCTGTGTGCAATATACAAAATAACAAGAATGATGAGGACATCAAGGGTATTCCTTTCGATTCAAGGCTTTCTGATGCAATGAATGAGGAAAGACTAGGACTCAATGGATCCATAAATCATAACCATGATGTTGTGGCTCATGAAAATGCTTGTAACGAACAAAAGCATTCTGAGTTTGATGACAGGTTAGCTATTTTAGATAGTGACAAGTCAGCCACACATGTAAATGGCGAATGCATTGTAAACAGAGTTTCAGTAAAATCTACTGCTTCATCAGATTCAACCAGTCAGGACAGCTTGCTAGATGATACCATATCAAACTGTACACAGTCTTTAGTACCATCTATAGGAACACCAGATTCTCTAGATTCTTTGGATGTCCAGAATATATTAGAGACTGAGGAATCGCACAAATTTGTGCCATCTGATAAACCTGCTGATAGTGGGTATGAGACTGAGAACCTCGAATCTCCTGAGTGGACTTCACATGTGAATGGTCCATCAAGCCATACTTTAACAGATTTGGAGACTTCTTCCTTTATAGCACCTGTCATTATAATATCAGAAGTTGGTCAAAATAATTTTGAAGTAAATGAGGGAGACCTTGATATTAAAACACAGAATTCTGCTGATGGTGCTTATAACTCTTACCGTGACTCTGCTTATTTTTCTGACAATGATTCTGAGCCAGAAAAGAAACCAGATGTTTTGGAAAACCAGGCTTCTGATATAAAGAATGCAAGTATTTCTCATACTTTTGAAGAAACAAAAAATAAATATGAAAGTAGACCTAGAAAGGTGCTTGTTCCAGGTGATTGGGCTGAACATTTGTCACAGAGTTCAGAAAATGCTAAGCAAGCTACACAAACTCCCATCAGTGAAAGCACTGCTGATGACGACATATCAGAACAGGATGAGGAAATTGTAAATCCATTTGGACCTTCAGAGGTTTTCTGCTCAATGAACTCAATCAAAGATATACCGTTTTTGAGCCATAGCGAAGGACAGAAATTAAAAGAGCCGGATATGGAAGGCAAATACTTAGGAAAATTGGATGCTGCTGGCCTTCTTGATTTGTCAGAAGATGGCATGGATGCAGATGAAGAAGATGAAAACAGTGATGATTCAGATGATGATATAAGAGCTTTCACACTTCATAGTTTCAGCTCAGACAGCGAGGATGACACTGTCCATCCAGTTCCTGTTGTTCACATGGAAACAGATGATGGGAAAAACTTAAAAAGTTTAATGAAACCACACAAACCTGCTTCAAGCAGATTGTTTGGGAAAGGAAAGAGCAAAAAGACAGTGAGCTTTTTTGACGATGTTACCATCTATTTGTTTGATCAGGTAAGTGTCTGTTGGAAATATGAACAAATGCATACTACAAAATCTCAATCTCTCTCTCTCTCTCTCTCTCTCTCTCTCTCTCTCTCTCTCTCTCTCTCTCGATATAGATAGATATATCCCTTCCCTTCCCCCCCCCCCCCCCTTCCCCATTTTAGCCATGATTTACTTTAAGTGAATACACTGTAAAAAATATACTTTGCATTGATAAGCCAGTTGACAGTTTAAGATGTCATAAACAAGGGTTTATTGGGCCTTAATACAAATGTTTGCCCATGTAGGAAAATTAAACCATCACATCTCTGGAGCCCAAACCTTCCTAAAGTTTGGTGGACTACATAGTTAATTCTTTATTCTACTGTTGATATAGCAGCTGTGTACCGTACCCATTAGCCATATTAACAGCTGCCAAAAGAAGGAACAGAAAACTCTACAAAAGACCTCCCAGGTTAAAGAAAGATTGCCAGAAACTGTCCACATTAGAGACACTACAAGAATACCTGCCTTAAAGTGGAACTTTAGTTAAAAATGGGAGAACGGGAAGGATTTTTAATGCGGGGGTGTGGAGCTGAAAGTTACACATTGTAGAGCACAGTGAGGAGAGATGACTGGAAGGAAGGGGCGCGCACCGCTCTTCACACAGCACCCAGGAACAGAGTGGAGGCTGTCCATCACTAGCTGTGTTGGAACTCCCTCCCCTGTCACCTTTTTTCCTTATGGTGTTAGAAAAACTTGTCAGAAGTGACTCATGCAGGCAGCAGACGTATTTGCAATCTATAGTTGCCTTCTCTATTTCACTTGCAGTGCAGTTTTCATGGCTCCAAAAATACTTAGCCTGTGCCAATCCTTGATGGCTGCTTCAGATACAGTGACAATTTCTAGGAGTTTATTATACATTAGATTAAGAGCTACAGGCTTTATTATGAATAGTGCTAAGTTTTTTTGTTTTTTGTTTTGCTTTGTAGGAAACGCCAACCAAAGATCTGGGATCTCGAGCTGTGGACTCTAGTAGTCCAGTATCCAACAACAGTCAATCTTCCCCATCTGCTGCTGCAGGATCACGGTTCACAAACTCTGAGAGCTCGACTGATGAAGAGGGTATGAGATAATTATGGTGCTGAACTGCAATAACTTGTTTGGTGCATACCAATCCAGTTACTGACCAGGCAGTAGTCCGACTACTTCTTGTGCTAATAACTTTCTTTGGGGGAAAAAAAAAGTGTTGGGAGAGTGAATGTGATCAGCACTGTCCAGACTGAGGTCAGGAGTTCTGCATCCTCATACAGGGGAATGAAAATTCCTCCTACATGCTGTAACTAGTGCTCTGCTGGACACTGATAGAAGTCACAAGACTGCTCTAACTGCTGATAAGAAAAGCTATTTAGCAGTTTATATTTACTAAAATAATTTCTTTTCCATGTAGTGTGTACTGTGGGAGACCAGATAGAGTGAATTCGGGGTCCTGGGTTTAGTAACACTTTAAACCAGTCCAGAGGCAGTGGATACAATTTTGGCAGTGTATTTGTCCTATACTTCAGTGTTTTTTGGTTTTTTGTTTTTTTTAGGTGCTTTTTTTAGTTTGTCCTAGAGGGAAACTACTATATATTTTTTTTTTATTATTATTTTATGAAAGGTAAAGTTGTCCTTTTATGGAAATCCATTTATTGGCCAGATAATCGAGTAAAAAAACCTAAGCATTAGAGTTTGTACTTTTTTTTTTTTTTTTTTTTTCTCCTCCTGGGAGTTTCAATAAAAGGAATTAGTCAGAAGTACTGCCTTAGTAAGTGCCTAAGACCTCATTCATCCATTCAGTAGCGTTACACATTACAAAACATGGGTATTTCAGCTTCCCTTTTAAGTGAGATCTCAGGTCTTGATGTAGTTTGCAGCTTGTGTCCTTTAGGTCTTGTTCACACAGGTGAATTTAAGTGTACATTCATGTGAGGGCCATGTTTGCCTGCACAGGGGATGCACAGGTATTCATTGCATCTCAGTGCAGTCAGTCCCATTCATGTCAATTGGAACAAAACAGATGCACAAACACAGGCATTGTTCCCAATTTAAATCCTTATGGGTATGTGTCCCCAAACACAGTGTGAGTTGGTCACACCCACATGGGTGAGCCAGTTGACATGAATGGGACTGCCTGTGCACAAATGTAGGGATCACCAGGGCATCCCATGCAGGCAAACACAGCCCTCACACAGGGCACAAAGACAAACTATATGGCGCTAAGATAGCTAGGAGAGTGGAGTGTGGATAAAGTCACGATGCAAGAGGGAAAACATACTAGGTGTGTTTGGGGTAGTAAACGTGCAAAGTTCCAAAAGGAGTGTGTCCACTTGAAATGGCTGCGCTCCTCTGTGTGAGTTTAGGATATTACTTCTTGCACTGTAAAAACAAAAGAAACAGCGGGTGCTGCCATCTAAGTGTACATTTATTTGAAATCATAAAAAAGTTAAAAATCGCACTCACATTGTACAAAATCATAAAAGCATTACTAGTCCTCTGGTATCTGCAGAGCTCAGCAGGGCAGGGTAGAGCAGAGTGACACCTGGAAGAAATTCTGTTGTTAGACCATTTGTGAGCTGTGATTAGGTAACTGTGCCTAGACCTAAAAGATGCAATCTAAAATATTGCCATTAATTTGCTACAGGCAGAAGGAAAGTATTTCCTCAATCTCTCCTTCAGTGATCACTCACTAGGACATTGAAACTCTGGCAGTGGAGATGGAGAGAAACAGAAGGGGGCTGATTTTATAAGGCAGTCATACACGTATATGTATGAATGAACATAAAGGTACACAGGCATCAGGATTTACATGATTGTGTCATCTATCAGGCAGCATCTTAGATCAGTATATTCTGACCCTGGTTGATGACTGATCAATGATGGGTCTGGCCGTTTTTGATAGAAAGGATTACAAAAGTATTGTTAGGGGGAGTATTGAGATTTTAAAATGTATAATGTACCTGTAAGTGGTACACATTGCTTGGCTTGCATTTAATTGACATGAAAAAAAATATACCTGCAAAGTTTTGTTTGCATACTATGCCTAAATAAATTGTCTTTTCACACTTCTAGGAGGTGCGTTTGAATGGGATGATGACTTTCCATCTCCTGATCCATCATTTTTGAACAAACCGACAGCAAACCTTATCGGTTCCAAGCTATCTGTTAACCCTTCTAAATACTTTTCACCTCCACCGCCATCTAGAAGTTCTGATGAAAATTGGACACATGCGTCCTCTTACTCCAGATTTTCTATTTCACCAGCAAATATTGCAAGTTTTTCTCTCACACACCTAACAGACTCGGATATTGAACAAGGGGGTAAGTGCTCTAATCTCGGAAGAAATCTGGCAACTACCCATCTGCTTCTTTTGTTGGGTTAATTGGGGTAAATATAACCTGAAAATGCAACACTAGTACATAGAGCCAACAACCAAATCTAGCTTGTAAATTCTTCCCTCCAAAGGAAAAGCTAAATATATTTAATTTTAAGCATACACTTAGTGTGTATTTACCCTTAGTGGGTTTTGATGACAAACATTTGCCCTAATAACTTAAAAATATGGTGAAAGCATTGGTTATGTGACCACCGCGTCATCATCTTCCCTTGCTTCACTGTTGCTATGTAGGCGAGCTTGAAAAACCTGTGTACATCCTCACCTTTGGACATACAGCACTATCTAGGAACTATGTTTTCCTGCATGCAGCACTGACATTGGAGCAAAGGTCTGGTAAAGAAACCCATGAAGTGTGATGACACTGTGCCTGTAGTATGTAGGGCTACATGAGGTGTGTCTGACATGGCCAATAGGAAAAGCTTGCGTTATGCTGGATGTCATCAAACCAGAAAGTGGGAAAGCGTCACCTGCAGGCTCAAAGGCAGAACCCAAAATATTAAGCAATTTTTTTAAATGTACCTAATTATGTTGAAATAATTTTACTTTACCTTTTAACCATTTCAATACCGTGCAATTTTACACCTTCCTGCCCAGGCCAGTTTTCATGTTTCAGCTCTCTCACACTTTGAATGACAATTGCGCGGTCATACAACATTGTACCCAAACTAAAATTTGATCATTTTCTTCACACAACTAGAGCTTTCTTTTGGTGGTATTTAATCACCGCTGGGGTTTTTATTTTTTGCTAAATTAACAAAAAAAAGACCAAAAAATTTTGAAAAAAAAAACAAATTTTTCTTTGTTTCTGTTATAAAAGTTTACAAATAAATAACTGTTCTTCATAAATTTAGGCCGAGATGTATTCTGCTACATGTCTTTGGTGAAAATAACCCAAATTAGGATGTATTTTTTAGTTTGTAGGAAAGTTATAGAGTTCACAAACTATGGTATAGATCTGAATATTGATCAATCCTGAAGTACTGACAGCCAATCTAATATCTTGAGGTCCAAGAATGTCAGAACAGTACAGATATCCCCCAAATGATCCCTTTTTGCAGAGTAGACAGTCCGACGTACTTCATAAGAGGCATGGCAAGTTTTTTGAAGTTGTATTTTTTTGTCATAATTTTTCGGAAAATGAAAAAATTAAAAAAAATTATTTTCACTATTTTTTTTTTTTTACATACTGTCTACAGTACAGCGTCATCATATAACTGGCATGGCGGTGAACAGCGACACTGACTGGTGACAGTATGAAAAAAAAATATATATATTTTTTTTAATTTTTTTATTTAATTTTTTATTACTTTTTTTTATTTTTTTTAAGATTTTTTTTGATATTTTACTATGACTAAAATAGTACAATGTTACCATAGTAACACTGTACTACTTTGGGGAAGTGATCAGTATTTTCTTTTTTTTTTTTTTTACTACACACAATTTGCTTATAGCAAAGAATTACTTTGCTATAAGCAAGCATTTACCTGAATGAAATCGATTCATTCAGCTTTTTTTTTTTTTTTTTTTTTTTTTGTGCTTAGCTGTGATTTGGTCACAGCTAATCACATGACATGTGCATGTGATTAGCTGTGACCATTCATGAATGAAGCCATCCATTGTATACAACTGTCATGTGACCTGCTGTGATTGGTCACAGCAGGTCACATGGTACCGGCAACGGGAGCCGGTACTCGGATCTGTCATCGGCCGTGTCCGAGGTGCACGGGCGGTGACAGATCGCACTGCTGCGTCGCTCTGCAACCGCGCATGTGCGGGAGCACGCCAAATGGCGTGCACCCGGAAAGCTGCAGCACTTTTCAAGCCGCCAAACAGCCATTGGCCGGGCGGCTAATGGTTAAAGGATAAGCTCACTTTTTGGAGCAGGTTGCACATTACATCTATAGAGAGTAACATACTCCAGGCTTCCCCTCGCATTCCCATCCCCCCTCCCTGTTATAGCAGGTAGGGGATCCTCTCCCCGCACCCGTCATCACATTTTGAAAACATCACTTGTCCTCACAGCTGCATCTTTCATTCACAGGAATTTGTGACTTGGAAAACTACAAGTCCCTTCTGCCACTGTGAAAGACAACTTGTAGTTCTCAATAGACTGTAAGAGTGCTCATCGGCATGCTCATAGTCTGTTCAGTGCTTACAGTTTTTGAACATAAAGCTCATAGCCCTATACAGGCAACCGTACTGCATGCAGTGTGTGCTGGAGCCTGCCTGGCATTGCACCCGTGATCTACTGATTGTGGGTGAAATGCTCTGCTGCAGGCTTCTGTGGGAAAAAATAATAAAAGCAAATTTTTTTCCCCTGCAAACATAGGTGTGTTTATTATTCTTATTTTTTGCATTATGAAAAAAAAAAAGACAATCTTGAGGGAAAAAAAAGTATTTTTGACATTTTGCTATTAAACATGTCCAGTAAAAAAATTTAAAATGAATTTCGTCATAAATTTAGGCGAAAATGTATTCTGATACACGTCTTTGCTGAAAAAAAAAAAAAAATCCCAATACGTGTAAATTAATTGGTTTACATGAAAGTTATAGCATTTACAGATGGCAGTGTATATGTGTGTACAGACATACACATATATATTAATATATATATATATATATATATATATATATATATATATATATATATATATATATATATATATGAGAGAGAGATTATATATAGAGAGATGTGTGTGTATTTATGTATATATATATATATATATACTGGGGTTTTTTTTTAATGTATTTTTTTTTTTTAATTTTTACTAGTAATGGTGGTGATCAGCTACTTATAACGGGACTGCGGCGGGCATTCTGTCACTGGGGGGGAACTGACTTGGTGTCACTGACCTCCCCAGTGACACCAGTACAGTGATCAGTGCTAATAAAAAGCACTGACACTGTATTAATGGCACTGGGCAGGAAGGGGTTAACGTGGGGCGCGAGCAAAGAATTAACTGTATGCAGTTTTACTTTCTGCTGTGTGTGCTTTCAACTTAAGCACACTGCTTTGCATGGCTCTGTTACACAGAGCCATGCAAAAACGGTGTACCCAAGTTGGCGGAATGGATCTGTATTGTTTACGTACAGTTCTCGCCCTCAGTCGGTAATGCTCCTTGGCTTGCACGCGCCCCTTACTCAGAAGTGCAAAATCATGTATATATGTGATTTTGTGCACATGTGCCGCCCTGTAGCAGTATTACTGCTATAAGGCGGACGGGAAGTGGTTAAGGATAGTTAGATTACACTATGCGTTTTTATGATTAGTTTTTTCAGTCATCTCTGGTTTGTTTTATTATGAGCATTTGTTTTTGTGAAATAAATTTGGTGCTAGCTTATGTTTGCCAACAGAGAAGGGGGCAAGACTTAAGCCGACTATGCACTAGGAGATTTTTGAATGAACATTCCCACAAAACCCTGTACGAAAATTCTCAGTACAGTTGGTGGCTTGACAGATTTCATTCCAAAGTACTTCAAAATGTAATTTGCTTGTAACTTTCAATTTTAGAATGAATGGACTTACTGAATGAAAACCACATATACTATTAGAGATTGATTCAAGAAAATGTTCTTGCTATTGTCAAAGACGAATATCGATTTGACCCCACTAATTAGAACAATGAAAGCACTGTTAGGCATACATTTAACCCTTTGATCGCCCCTAGATGTTAAGCCTTTCTCAACCAGTGTCATTGGTACAGTGTCGGTGTATATTAGCACTGAACACTGTATTAGTGTCACTGTTTCCCACAAAGTGTCAGTCCGTGTCAGATTGACTTCCATGCTATTACAGTCCACTATAAGTCACGGATTACTGCCAATACTTGAATTTTTTTTTTTAATTTTATACAAGTATATATCCCATAGTTTGTAGAAGCTATATCTTTCACGCAAACCAATCAATGTACACTTGCTGGGATTTTTTTTTTTTTTTTACCAAAAATATGTAGCAGAATACATTTTGCCCTAAATTTATCAAGACATTTTTTTTAATTGGATATGTTTTATAGCAGAAAGTAAAAAAAATTATTTTGGATTTTTTTCTCAATTTTCGGCCTTTTTTCATTTTGTAGCTCAAAAAAATAAAAACCGTGTGGTGATCAAATACCACCAAAAGAAAGCTCTATCTGTGTGAAAACAAATGATACAAATTTCATGAGGGTACAGTGTTGCATGACTGCACAATTGTCAGTTAAAGTAGCGCAGTGCAGTATAGCAAAAAATGGCTTGGTCAGATAGGGGGATATAACCGTTCCGGAGGGCAAGTGGTTAGAATGAACTCTAGTGAGCATCATTGCAATCATTGGGACTCGGGCTATTATAGGTCAGCATACTGGTATAGCAAATTACTTATTGATTTTTCTAAAACATCTGGAATACATTGAGGTTTGCTTGTAACAAACACCTGCTAATAGAAACTACCCTGCTACTCAAATGTTCCTGTGCAGCTGCTCTTCTTAAGGGGGTAGGTGGGCAGAAATCTGTAATGAAATACAGTGACTGCCATTACAGACTTCTGGAAGTATGAAAAAATAAGACTGCGCTGGTAGCAGGTCAAAACACAATGTATACCATAACACAAACACACGGAAAATTATAAATCATATCAATCCCAGAAAAAAAATTTATATATATTTTGGAATTTTGGGATATATATATATATATATATATATATATATATATATATATATATATATATATGTCCCCAACAAAAGTGTGGTAGTGAAAAATAAAAATGCAAAAAATGTCCTTTTCACCAAGTGAATCCACCACCAAATGAACTGAATAAACTCACCGGAGCAATATGCTGATTATATTATAAACCAGCATAAGCACTTTTTTGCTCTGGGAGCAACGATCTGCAGACAGTAGAGACACAGCTTAGGCTTGGAAGAGATGATTTCCTAGAGCAATACTCTGCAGGA